AGAGATCTTTGCAACCTATGCAATGGGGCAGCTTCCAATAACAGGAGATTCCATCACTTGTTAGGATTTTGCTCAGGCAGTGCAGAATTCAGTGTAGAACTGGCCAGAAATATTTTAACAACATTTAGCTCCATGCTGAAAATGCTGATTTATCACAGTCCTGTGTGAACAGGCATGTCTGAGGACAGTGCACTGCATTTTCAGATGCCAGCTACTGGCATTTTTTTGTTAATATCATTTAAGTGATTAAATATCTTCAAACTGAAGGGCTTTCTTTTATTTTTTTTTTTTTCATTTGAAATTGAATTAATTTATACTAAAAGTTACAGCTTGCGGAAGGCCAAAATCAAAATTACATATATTTGGTTTTATCAAAATCAGATATTTTGATTAACCTGTATTTTTGTACAATCTTCACTTGTATTTTACCACAGCATGTGGAAAAGAACTCTGAGATTTTGAGAAACTCTCCAGAACAGGGTTCCTACTTACTTCTTAGCTCTAAGACTAGCAGCCTGGCCTCATGAATCACACAGAGTAAAAAGCATTGTCCAGAATTCAGAATTAAAGTTTGCTATACATAAACCTTGTGACATTTTTATTACAGCATACCACCCTAGAATCTGCATTTAAAACACTGACTGCTCAAAGGATTCTAAATCTCCTCAGCTAAAGGTAATAAAATCAGGTCAAGAATTCACTACTCAACAATCTGCCATTAGCATTTCTCTTCAGAGAAAATGGAATTTGTCTGGTTTTAAAGACAGTAAAGCCAGGGCACATAGCACAAGTTTGGAAAGTATAATGAGATGCTTGTGTATGAAAGTCCATTAGGTAACGAGTTTTATTTCCTTAGAAAGAGATTTCAGGGAATCCACATTATGATTGTTTTCTTAGAGTACATAGAGTATTTCTGCAAAGCCCAGAGGTGGGGCTGCATTGCTGCATGCATAACCCAGGCTTGATTTCAGCCAGGCAGCTTGGCCACCGTTGGCGATGTAGTCACAACAGCAGAGAGCACAAATGGTGCTTTCAGACAATTCTTTTCAGTCCTGATGAACCCTATCTTTCCAGAGCCATGCCGTGGCCAGTTCCCAAAACTGGCCAAAATTACCTGTGACACATCTGCATGGGCTGAGGTCACAACTAACCTGAAGTACCCAGCTAAGCTCTCCTGGAGAACTAACCCATCACTTGAATTCACCATGGAGTTAAATTGGCACATGGGTACCTGGGGACATCTCTAATGGATTTTTCTGTACAGGACCTCTTAAGCAGTAGGTTTCTTTAAGTTATTAGCTTGGGCAGAGGGGTGCTGGTTGTCTGGGATTTTTTTTTATTTGTTTGTTTTTTAAATCTCTGAGTTAGCACCTCCAAGAATTCATCAACTGATGCAGATTCCTTCCTTCGAGATATATCACAGTGCTACTGAGAATGAAGTACTTCATACTGGCCATAAAAGATAAAAAGTTGTGCTTTCAGTTCTCAGTATGGCAACAGATTTTCTATTTAATTTGTTTGGATTCTTAACAGTGAAAGCAGAATTTAATTTGCACTAGAGAATCCTTTAAAATAAATACTTGATCTCTTCCCACCCACTATTACAGCTGATGGGTAGAAAAAAAGAACAGCAATTCATTCAGCTTATCACTGGAAAACCAGAAGAAGAAAGAGATCCTTAGTGCAATGATTAATGACTTGCTATAAAAAGATGCATCATAAACTGCTTGTATTAGGTCAAATCATAAACTAGGCATTTAATGTTTATACGATCCCTTTCTAAATAATTAAGTGTGTCTGTCATTCTCACTAGGAAGAGAACTTACACGATGCTCCCAAACCATGCAGTTTCTTACAGGGTCATAATTTGAGACCCTCACTTAAAGGGGTCCCTGTATTCCTCTACATTCTAAGACTGCTTGAATTTCTTTAACTACTGGGACATCTCTCTGCACTGCAGGTGAGGGGCATCATTTGATGTCCTGGATCAGCAAAGATGAACTTGATCTACCCTGACTTTAGGATGTCTTTTTCAGGCACAGGCACACCCACTGCTTTGCTGCAGGACAAAGTACCATTATTTTCCTTTATGTCTGCCTTCAGGTTGGGAAAAGGACAGCTGAGCCACAGCTGAGATGGAAACAGGGCTATCGACCACCCACTGGATCCACATGGGCAGAAGGAGGCAGAGCAGCCATGTGATGCTTGCCTGAATGCAGCTACCAAGCCAAGCTGCTTGTGAAGGGCACCTCACCCACACAGAAGTCAGCCACAATTTGACTCTGTAAATTCCTGGACAAAATCAGCTTTTCCCATCAGCTTGTCTCACAGACAATTCCCATCAGCTTCAGTAGCTGGTTGGCGAACACTGAGAGAACAGCCCCATTTGTCCATAACACAATTTGGTCCTGCATTTATCCATCTTGCAGTGAGACTGTCATCTTTGAAAAATGTAGTACAGGATGACTTTATATAAGTGTCCATCTATTTTCTTACTATTACAAGCCTGCAATCATGTCCATCTCCCTTTTATTTCCCAGAACAGCTGGTGTTTTTTCTCAGCCAACCCAGAATCTGCCTAGCTTGGCAAATAGACACTGGTTTCACTGCAAAGCCACCCCGTTAGGACAATCTCTCAGCTCTAACCAATATGAAGTTTACACAAAAAATAATACGAGTTAAAAAAAGGAGCTGCAGATCCCTAAATATTTCCAACAGATGTGGTAGTAAAAGTCAATTTTTGCACTCCTCACTCAATACAAAAAATCAGTTAGGTTACTTAAATATTTCCATCTATGGAATTCAGAAAAGGGAAAGGCCAATAGTGAAATACCCAAGATGATGATGTTTTAATAAACATTAGATTTAAGGGGGATTAGCAGGGTTATCAGGCAGCATCCTCCCAAATCAGCTCATTAGTTTCACTGACTTTGCCTATTTCATTTTATTAGAACAATTTAAATGAGGGTTCATTAGATGCAATGTAATCTAATTCAGACACTCCAAGCCTAATCTCTTTTCTTTTAGTAGTAACATGATAATAGTTTGCAAAAAAGTTTAAAGGATTATTGTTAGAGCTATTTTGAATAGGGACCGTTTCCAGCCAAGTGTGTGCCACCACTCTCCCACAATTTAATTATTTCTTGCTCTTTCTTCATTCATACATTTATTCCTTTCCTTTTCTGTCTTTCAGTGCTCCACACAAGCATAGTCACACACGGACATCAGCATCCCTCTGTGCAGGTGCAGGGCATATGCCAAACGTCCCTGCATGGGTCAGGCCACCAAGGCTTGGGAGAGGAATGATTTTTCTACAACTTACTTTGAGATTCTGGAGTTGCAAAAAACAAAAACAAAAACAAAAAACATTTGTAAATTCACAGTGATTTTATAAATGTCCTAGTGGGAAGGGAGAAGGTTCATGTGCATTTTCGTGCTGCTAGCTCTGAAAGACACACAGGAGGGGATCATGTGTAGGACTTAGAAATTAGGAGGCAGACTCTATATTACTTACCATGATCTAGGCTGAAAACAGAGTAACAGATCCATGCTGTGGACATACAGCTCATTTCAAAATGAACTCATACTCCTGTACTTTCATATGGCCTTTTTCAAACAGTAGGGTTAATTATTCTTTATAGGGAAAAACAAAACAAAAACCAAAAAATACCCTAAACCCAAGGAATGAGAGCTGGTTTCTAGATCCTAGGTTTCTGCAGACTTTAACAGGTTCCTACCCCTGACAAGCTGTCCTCACACACTTCAAATCCTTGTCTCTCCACCCAACAGCCATTTCATAATCCTGTTAAAACCTTTCCCTCTGTTTACCAGGAGCCCTAATCGTGCTCCACAAGTTCTTGTCTGAGGAAGAGTGACAGCTTTCAGATTTCTTAGGAGGCTTATTCATCAGCTATGCCAGAGTTTTGCCAGAGTGTTCAATCTATTCTGGGAGCAGCCATGTGGAAAAAGTTTCAAACAGCTCAAAGCCCTGCACAATGATAAAGGAAAGCTCACACAATCCTGGTAATAGCCTGACCCTCTTAAGGAAAATTGGATGATTTGTGGTAGCAGTTTTTCTGTCCCCTATGTGAATTCTGAACCTTAAAGTATAAGCAGTGTATTCACACAGTCCCATTACAAACCCTATCCCTCTTGTGATGCTGGAATAATAAATACACACCCATATGTGAAAATAAACTCTTGCTGCAATGACCTTCTTCCTCAGCCCACTGGTGTGAAGGAGTTCGTAGCCATTTTAGAAAAAAAAAGAGTCAGATAAAGGATGGACTAATTTGATGTTCAGTATTTCACCATGAGCAGAATATATGCTTTAATGAGCACATTACATGCACTAGGGACATGTTACTGTGAAGCAGGGAATAAAGAGTAAGGGGAAAATAATTAAATAGTCAGCCTTATAATGAGGAAACTGTGTTCATGCAACATTAAGTGGCATAATTTTCAAGTGCTAAGGAAAGACATGTTCCTTGGACTTCAGAAGGACTTGCTGGCAAGGATCACCTTGAAAACAAGGGCAAAGGATCAAAAATATCAAAGCTCCTATAGGTCCAGAAGCACAGGGTGGACTGATGCTGTCCTGAAATCTTCCATCCACACTTTGCACTGTCCTATCCAAGAGGATTGAATATCTTCTTACTCTACAAGAAGTTTTAAAATACCACAAGATTCACCATGAGTGCTATGTAGAACATTATGACTGATTTCTACCAGCCAGGCCTTAGTTTTCTGTTGATGCTGCATCTGCTAGGACACAAGCACACAACATCACCTAGAGCCAATGAGCAGATGAGGACTTAGTGTAGCTGTTTGCACAAGCAGAGCTATTGGAAAAGGGGAAAAATCTGTTTTACTGGGTTCAGACGCTGACAGAATGAACCAATAAACCATATTTCTGACTCTTATCAGTACTCTCAAGGCCACAGGCTCTGCAATTTTCTTTGCAAATGGACATGGCACAAAGTCCCTTCATTGTTACTCACCCTCATGCCTAATTCAATGTTTTCTCCTCCATAGACCTCCATACCCGGGTCAAGCAAGCCAATCTCACCAAAATACTCTCGGTCCACCACAAATGAGCATCCAATCATGGCTGGTGTCCTGCACAGAGAGATTAAAGTAAAAAATTAAGTAGTTTATTAGCTACTACAGAACCCACCTCATAATATATTTACACAGACAAAACAGTCCATAGTCTTTGAGCTTACATTTTAAATTTATATATGAGTGTGAAATCACACTGCACTTTATCCCTCAATGGACAGAGGACCTGCTGAGACTGGCCACCCAAAGAACTAGCACACTGCCAGACACACTTGTACCAACTGCCTGTGAAACAGACACAAGATGTGAAGTTAAGTAGTCCATGACTGTAAGTGAAATATCAGGCTGATTTTCTTTTCTTTTATAAACAGAAGAATTCCTTTGTGCTGGGGCTAAAGTTCACCACCTACAGAGTAGAACAAGAACTAGACAACACTGTGTTTGAAGATTAATACACCAAAAAAAATCCCATAAGCTTTGTCAGAAATGAGGACTCCTCTTAACTGCATATTAAAAGTGTGTGTCAAGAGCCATGGATCAATCATGGTATGAAGTATGGCAAGGGACTTCCCCTGGAGTCAACTCTGGCAGATAAATTTCAGCCTTTGTGAGGCTGTTCCATGATTAGCATTTCTATGTTTGCTGGGGTCAGTCTTTAAAAAAGGAATAATTTTCAGATGAAGAGACTCTGCCCTCAGATCTGCCACTGACCAGCTGGCTGTTTTCAGATAAATCATTTCCCTTCTCTGAGCATCAGTTTCTTTCTGTGTGAAACTACAGTTCTGCTCTCCTTGACAAAGCTATCTGAAACCTGTCACTGAGCAGCACTACACAACAAATTTTGAGGCCATTTACCGTATGAACACGAGCATTACTTCAATGCAACACAACCTCGTGACATTTGCTGCTTTCATTTGTCCACATTTTCTCCACATCTCTGTCCTGATCATAACACTCACCTCTTTAAAATTCAAGGTAGGCTTCACTGCTATAGCTCACAATTTAAAAATGTAAACTTGACTAACTTTAAGGTGGAAAACAAACAAGCACCTGCAGTTCCATATGTCTGACTTGCAATTCAGCTGCAGGTTGCACAGTGCCTGCTGCAAGACCCGGGTAGCCACCTTGCAGTCTGATCTACAGGATGTGCCCAGGCCCTGGGGACAGACCCCCATCTTAGTGGGATCCTAACAGACCAGACTGCTCAGTGAGGAAAACTGTAAAATCACTTGAGAAACTGAACATTTCTGGAGCAGATCTAAAAGACTGAGTTATGCTCCCTCTCTCATTGAAAGGGAGGCAATATTGGGCCATCTGGCAGATACAAAATCATTCCTAACAGCACTAGTGTAAAAAGTCATCAGGAAAACTCAAGTTTATACCAATTTTCTATTTTCTGGTAGAACAGAGAATGCTCTATGTCCCAAACACAAATATATACACACCATGAAAATGCCCTATTGAAACAAAGATGATGGAAGAGGTCTAGAACCTATTTCAAGAAGTCTCCTTTGTAATGCACTAACGTTATACTGTCACTGTGAAGGTATTTGTCTGTGACATCTGAGAAACATACTCATGAAGCAGCTTCATACACGTGTGAAAAACTGCCCTGGCCAGGAGAACGAACACATTTTTTTACTCATCTATCATTGGGTCCCACTGGTAGCATCAAGTGGCTGCTGGAATGGTGTCATTACATCAGGTCCCTTTTCTCATCAGCATTTCACCATTTCTACATCAGGAGGTTAAAAAGGCTTCAGACAAATGGCCAAGATATGGTTAGATAAAACTGTTCCTTGCTCCTGGGCCTAATGAATATCCCAACACTGCAGAACTCAGTCCAACCTGTGACAGGAACTATTTGGTACCCTTGAAAAGGTTTATTTGCTGAGGCACTGCTATTACTGTCTGTAATGGACTCCACTGTAGCACTCCCACTACTGGTACAGCTTCAGCATCTCTCCCTTGCACTTTTTCTTGGTTTGAAAGCCATTGCAAGCTCCCAGATCATTACAAGCCTACACTGCAGTGCACACTATCCCTTTCATGATTTCTCTGCATGATTGAAAAAGGCAGCTGTTGATAGAAACACATTTGATGGGCACTGTTTCTGACAAAGAAGTTGAAATAGTTTGATTAACTCTCCTGTTCCAGCCTTACCGAGCAAGACGCGTTCCCTGGATCATGAGCTGGGGAGGATAAGATTCAATGGTGGTTACAAACATGTCCTTCACAGATGACTTTGGACTAAAGTGGGGCTCTCAGCCAGGTCCTTGCACCCATTCAATCAAAAAGGCTGGATGAAACTGAGTCCAGATATCACAAACCCTACAAAGCAGCAGCGGGGTCACCACCAGCACCCTCAGTGTTTGGATCTCTCCCAGACTCCACAGTCTCCCTTTTGTGTGTGTAAGAAATGCCAGCACTTCTCTGTTTGGTGCTGTTATGAAGACTTTCTGTTGAGTCAGTCTCTAGTTACAGGTGGTCTCAGAGTTCTATAAAAACCACGCGTGGTCCTGGATGCTCCTGGCTGGACACATCCATCTTCTGTCGATGCATATACTTACCATACACCAGTATCTTTGCAAGATGGATAGCACTTAAAAATTCAAGCCATTTGGTAAAATGCACCTTCCTGGTTATAGTTTCTACAGCCATGCCTGAAGACAGGCTTGCCCAAAAAGGTTGAGACTTCTCCTGTACACCACAGGCCAGACACATCCTATATGTATGCCACTGCCAAATCCTATATCACTGAAGATCATATTTTAGGCTACCAAGGAATATATTTGGTCCAGAAACTGAAATAAAAGGACATGACCAAGGGAATTTCAGTAGCTCTGAAGTGAAATAAACCTTTGAGGGAATATTTAGGTATTTCTTAAGTGTTAACTACAATAAAAAAAAAGAATGAGGTGGGGTGAAGAAACACCACTTTCTTCATTTTACTTTTTATGTGTTTAAAGCCAAACACAGGCTTCACTGGATGATGCCTGGAGCACCACTGCTTTACAAAACTGAGCTGCTAGTTTGGGCTTAGATTCATTCTCTTTCCAACCCCCCTCAGATAATCTGGAGGCAGCTCCCTACAACAGTAGGATGCTCCCATGGGGACATTTCTCCTTCCTTCCTAGTGAGGAACAGTACTGCTAGGCTCTGCAGGCTGCTCTCAGGTGCTGGAATCTTTCTCCCTAGGGGATGGATTTTCGCAGCCGTCTGCTCTGTCTATTAAAACACTGACTTGTTAATTGAATGGGGTGGGAAATACATTTTAGATGCAACTACATAATCATCACTCACAGACAAATGCTGTTGAGGATTGCTTTTGCAACTCCCTCTCTCTCTTCTAGGTCTTATTTCATCTCATTAGATATATTCAGACACAGACTCCACAAGCCTTCATGGCTTATTCAGAAAAAAAAAAATGCTTTCAGGAACAAGAAACAATAGCAGTGCAATGGCAGGAGGAGCCACGTTCAGCTTTCCAGAGATGTCAGTCAAAACCTGTCACTGTCATTGCCTTTCTCTACCTGAATTTGGCTGCCTGCAGCCACTGCTCTTCTGCACAGCAGCAGGGCTGCAATCCCTGAAGCTGAACTGAGAAGCCCATGGCTCTGCTCTGGCTGCATCCTGATGTGAAGGAGGAACATGTCGATGATGCACAAGGTTGAATTCTCTGCACACTGCATGTTCAACACTTCCATCAGGTTCAACTGGAGTTTTAGCCATTCAGTCCTCATCAAGCCCTGGCCCGTAACTTCCCTGTGCTTTGACTGACCCAACTGTAAACTAACTGTAATGTGATTGCACAGCCCAGTGAGCTGGTAACAGTGCTGGGAGCTGGGGGACCCTGACTCCACTCCCAGCTCTGTCACTCATCTGCTCTTCAATGAGTCACCTCCCTCTGCCTAGGTTCCTCCATCTGTGAAGCACACAGTAATATGGAGTAAAATTCTGAGAACTGCTTCAGCAGCTTGAGAGCCTAAGATTCACTTCTGAAAGTGCTCTAAGTATAGAGGTGGGTAATTTTGTACTGGGCTACAGTGTTACATTCACATATTGCAAATGCTTTTTAAAATCCCTACTCTCCCAAAAGCCTGATACCCCCACTGTGGTGTCATCACTGGGTTTTTCCAGTGACTGAAAAATTCCAGTATATCTACCACTTTTAGTACAGTGCAGCAAAGGCTTCTCTTGAAAGTCAGAAGTGGATATATGAGCAATAGCAACTGTGTTAGCACTTCCTAAACTGCTCACTAGCTAAGGGGCAGCAAAGAGTAAGGTGCATGCCCTTAGCTCTTCACAGCTTCAGAGTAAAATACATTACCTTAAATAACACCTGCTTTATGTAAAAGTACCTTTTTCCTTAAGTCATGCACTTTCTAGTAAAACAGTGACATTTTTAGAAAGAAGGTATCACAAACAGCAATTGGAGGTGACTTATTTTTTCCCAACACCTCAAAGGTGTTGAGAAACTTAATTGATCTGTGGAATAGTCTTTGACATAACTGAGGATGTTATAAGAATTAATTATAATCAACAACAGCACTCAAAGGATAATGTGGGAAACACAGCAAAACGTTTTTTGCAGCTAAAGCCTTAGAATGCAGCAGAGTAGTATCGATTCTGCACTGCAGAAAGATACAGCATAGTCAATTTGGGGAAATTACCTGATGGCATGGCTGTAACAAGGGAGGTAGGAGAGATGTTACTCTGGGTAATACCCTGGGGAAAGGGAGGAAGTGGAGAGAGCAGCACTTCATGGTGTCAAACATTCCTTCCCTCCCAGCAGATGCAGCAGGGGAGGCTATGAGGGAAGAGGGGCCCTGTGTGGAGGAGGGCAGTGCCAGCTGTAGGATGGGGTACCAGAAACAGAGGACACGTTGCCCAGCAATGCAAGCCACTTGCTGTAGGTCTGAGTCATGACTAGTTTGGTCTAGTGAGATCTCCAGGAGCATGGCTCTGCCAGCTAAGTCCAGCAGCACCGATCCCCATTTCTCCAGCCAGGTGCCTCCCTCCCCTTCCCTCCAGAGACAACTGGAGGTTGCTGCTTGGGGGCTTCCTTGAGAACGAGTGAAGGAGAAAGGGATGAAGGTGAGGCTGACATACTGCAAGAGATACAGTAAGTCTTCCTCTCCCTCAGTATACCTGCAATCAATCATGTCTGAAACAGTTTCCAGAGCATACAACAAGTCTGACTTCCAGGGCAAGTGACTTACAAACACTCACACACAAATACGTAAATACAAACACAAATATAACTAGAAGTAAATACATAAACATAAATGTAGATACAGGGGTAAGGAGAGAGAGAAAAAGAGATTCAAATGACACATCACACACCATATGTTTGAGTTCTCCAACCTTCCTGGCAGAACGCTTCTTTGATTCAGGTTTCTAAGCAGTATCTCACCCCCGGCCTGACAGATAAATGGGGAAAACTACACAGTATCTGCATAAACATTTATTTTCCCTTACAATTCATGTTTTCTGCAAGAAAGAGTCACACCAGACCATGAGACTAGAACTCAAGGACAGATTTGGTGCTTAGAAACTAGAGGAAAAAACCTAAAAAGCTTAATGACAGGAAGGTTTGTTAACACTTTTGGAGAGGTCTAGGATGAGGAAAAAAGCAACCCAGAACACTCAGCTAGGAAAAGCAGAGCAATAGAACAACTCTCTGACACCTGATGGAAGAACATTTTTTGGGAGAGGCAAGATACCTGTGGGAACCTGGACAAATAAAAAAGAAACTTCTCTGCTCTAGGCTCCTGTGGAGCAGCAATTGAAGAGATGGCCAGAATCAATGAATAAACAGTCAGCAGTTTTGTTATTACATGAATACAGGGTTTCTCCTCAAAGAGGAGATTACAGATAATCCCTTCCTAAGCTGAGGTGCACAAACAGGTTTCTTCCCAGAGGAGCACAGGCCCGGGATGGCTGTGGCACCACCACCAGGGCAGAGCACCACGCAGCCTGGTGTGCACAGGAGAGGGGCACACGTGCTCCCAGCACAAGCACCACTGGGGTGTAAAGCAACCTGCACAACCACCTGACTGTGAGCATATCAGATGTGAGCTACAACACGTGAGAGAGGCACAGGTGCTTTCTGGAGGGGCTGATCCTGTGCACGGCCGCTATCCTCCCGGAACCAAGCTAGGGCACGCTGAAGCAGTAAGTGAGAACATATGCAACAGTGACACGCACCACTGCTGCTGGAGGAGGAGAAAATGGAGAGCTCTGCACCGCTTGGCTGAGTGAGGCTGACTAATGACTCTAACGTTAGTGGCTGCTGACCAAGAAATCAAACACAGAGCAGTCCATCATAATCATGGCAGGTGAAGGAAGATGAGCCAGAGCCAGGTACCAGAAAACTTCCCTACTGATCCAAAAAACAGTAGTATCTTCTGCATACAGAAAAAACCAACCAAACAAACAAAAAAAACAAACACCCAGCTTGTTTCAATGCATGGTCAAATTCATTAGAAACCCTCTGAAACAGGATCCTTTGGTACACAGTTTGTTGCCATATGATAAGGACATTTGTGTTCTCAGGAGCACAAATGGAAAATGATGTGATGGACACAGCACGTCAAAATAACAATCCTCATTTAACTTTTCATGTTAGAGACATCTTACATCTCAAATGTCAAACATGCAAAATGGATTGATTGCCTGCAGAAGGCGATTGGGGAAACATCAATTGTTCTGAATTTCAGAGGATTAATGGGGGGAGGGGAAGAACTGACTTTAAACTGTATCAGAAATCTTTACAAAATCTGACACTTTGTTCTTGCTATTTCTCTACCTTTCTTTGCACTTGAAGGCCATATCTGATTTGTCACTTGGATCACAACAGCTGATCTGACATTCTATGGTGTGCACTTGACCAGACTGCCTACACAGTGCCCTACTGATTGAAGGGACAGATCCTGCTCCTTCCCAGCCAGGCTCTGAGCAGGATCACACCACTCTTGATGTTCGTGAAAACACAGGATCAGGCTTCAAACTAAAAACTTCTGAGAAGAAGTAAGCACATCTGTTGCATAATCCCCAGAGAAAGAGGAATTGGACTCTGCTTTCTAAATGTCTCACCCAGTGCTGCAGATTGGTGATATTTATTCATACACTGCAAACACCAGAAATGCCAGGACTCTGATCCTCACTGATACCACGGTGGGCTTTTTTTTTTTTAACACTGAAAATCTTTAATCCTTTTGGAGATCTGAGAGGAAGCATTCAGCTACTCCAACCACAAAACTAGTCACAGTGTTATCAGTCATTAGTCTTTTACAAAACAGAGAGACAAAAAAGCAATCCACTATTTGCCTCAGACGTTGTGAAAGGAACCCTTCAGAAGGACAGTACCAGCGAGGACTAAATGAACTTGCAGTTTTCATGCTGATGAACAGTCCTGCAATGTTATGAACGCACTGAACAGACACACAGATCCAAACACCACCAGTGTGGACCAGTTTGCATTTCTTGCAAAATGGACTGAAACAAATATCATGGTTGCAGTATATGATTTGGAAAGCTGGTTCTAAAACCAAAATCTGTACCAAAGCTACACAGATTTTTGAAAAGGTTTGTCACAAGTCTGACTTCCTCTTTGTTTTGAAAATATACCTTAAATTTTCAAACATATACCTTACATTTTCTGCAGCTACTCAGTTCCAATCATGGCTGCTTTCAGACCTCAGTTCTAAGTACAAATTCTGATCCTTTTCATCAATAACATTCACACATTTGCTCTTTCCATTACTCTGGCACATCGCTGAAAATCACAAAATTGCATTGTATAGGCAGGCATAACAAAACAGCACATCCAAATGCTTCAGCAAATCCTTCCAGGTGCTACTGCTTTGGAGGGCCATCAGAAATTAGTGCAGTGTGGCCATAAAATGGATATTCTGCTCCTCTAGACCACTGTCTTCAAAGCAAATGCTCCCAGGGACACAGGTAAAGTGTTCATGGTTCAGTGTTGATGTCTCTGCATTTCAGGGCATGTAATTCATAATTTGCAGGAGAGATTCCTGTGCTGTCACAACGTCTCAGTGCTTCTGATATTTATCAGCAAGGGTTGGGTGCTTCTCTCCTTGTGCTGCTTGTCTCATCTGTCTCTGGGCAGTTCATGTGTAGTTGAATTGGAGGTTTCTTCACTCGGGTTCAGAACAAAATCACTGCTCTCAGGAGCCAGCAGCTTACATGCATCAGATTTCAACACTACTCAGTGCCCGAGTTTGGACCTTACTCATTTCTGTATCAGTCTGACCTGGTGTCAGTATCACTCCAGCAAGAGTTTCAAGAGAAGCCTGAGGAAAGCCCATGGCAAATCAGGTCCTTTATTGATGAAAAAAACCCTTATCCTAGCATAGCAGGGGTAAGATTCCTTATTCCCTATTCAAAAGATACGTAGCTGAATTTCTAGAAGTGTTCTGCAGATACAGTTTCCATACTTTAGGGAGCACACAAGCTATCACCACTGAAAATCATCTCTGAGAACTTGCTGAGGTTTAATCTCTTAGTTGAGTCTTATCTGATATGTGATCATTGTCTCCAGAACAAAAGATACTCAAACACTAGAAGAGCTCATGTGAAAATTAATACAGTGATTTCACATATAAACTGGAGGTAATGAAGTGTGCAAAACCTTTTAGGGATAAAAGACTGAAACCCTGATTTCAGGAATGAAAGCTTTAGCTGATGAATTTTCCTTCATCAATGTACTATTTATCTGGACTGAGTGAAATAGATACAAAACATCTGCACTTTTAAAACAATGTGAGGAGAGCAGGGCATGTTATCCAGGAAAACTGATTTCCCAAGTAATTACTTTCCTGCTTATTGAGGTTTCCAGCTGAGCAAAGGGTCAGCCATGAAGGACTGTGCTGTCTTGTAGTAAATAAGGTTAATGTTACTGTCTAGATCTTTCACAGTCACAGAGCATGAGAATGAACCTAAGGGAAACCTGCAACACTTGCTTAAACATGGATTGAAATATTAGTCTGTGTAAGGGACAGATCCTGTGAGATGGTCCCAGCCAGCTGATCACAGGCAAACATATGCACTGGAGATGAAGGGCGAGATGTAAATTTTCAAATGAAGGCAAAAGAAAGCCCCTTTCTTATCAGTTCCTGTTTTCCACTGTAACAATTATCAAAACCACTATCACAATTCCTGAAATGTTATTTCCCTAGAAAATTCCATTTCTGTAAAATAAAAAGTTCCCTTACAAAGGAAAATAAAAAGGCATTCTGACTACATTGTCCACTTTCATTTTAAAATTCATCCCGTAGGAAAACTCAGAATGTTCTCAAACGTGAGAAAGTTCTCAAAAAAAATAGCAACTCTCAGGCAAGGCAAGGCAAGGCAAGGCAAGGCAAGGCAAGGCAAGGCAAGGCAAGGCAAGGCAGACATCTGCTGCTAGTGCTCCTAGGAAGCCCTGGTTTGGGCTGATGGCCAAGTGTGGTGCCTACAGACCAAAAGTGAGGCCAGCCTCTTTGTAATCACATACAAAATACCTTTGTTTCTCACACACACAGTGTCCCACTGCCTCATTGCTCATGTTGGAGGGCTTTGGAAAATTAAAGCATAGATGAAAAAGATCCTGCTATCCTACTAAAGGCTACAATGTGAACTTGAACCACACCTTCACAAGCAGAGCACGTCCACTTCTGGGTACATTGTGGTGCAGCTCTGAGGTGTGACACACCCCCCCAGCTTTGCAGAGCCATCTGTTTGCTCCAGTTTCACACTGCTGTCCCTGCACAAAGCCCAGAGCCTCACTCCACTCAAATCCCCCCTCTGCAGAGAGCTGAGCATGAAGCGTCGCGAGCACCAAAGTGACAGCGCAGGGGAGATTTACCTGATGGGAGCTGACTCATCCCCCTTATCGAGCCAGTCCTGCGGGGGGATTATGTACATGCACCAGAGGCCCCAGTTGTAGCCGTGGGCTGCATTGGCATATTGCTGCACTTCAAAAGTGTTGTACTTGATGTTGTCGATGGCTGGCAGGATGATCCGCTTGCGATCCTCTTTGATCCGGGTAAGTGCAGGTTCCACCCTGAGAACAAGAAAAACAGCAAAATATTTCACAGCCGTCCAGTAATCCCAGGTCCTGCTTTGCAGTGTGATAAACCACAGTTCTCTAATCCTGAGAGCTGTAACCCAGCGAGACGGCAGCTCCAGACACAGCACAGCAGGGGCCAGAGCAGATCTCTGTCAGGCACCAAAGAGGCTGGAGCTGGGCGCAGGACACTTCACACAGTAACAGCACATCAGTTATCACCCTTAGGAAGCTGTACCAGAGTTTAACACAAAACTATACTGAACACTTATTCTGAGGCCTGGAGACTGTCAATTCATTTTGCAATGGGCAAGCGTTGAGAGACACCATCACCAAGAGGAACTAAATGGCTACACCACCAGGATGCCTGGGAGCGACTAAACAAATACCTGCTCTTGCTGACAAGGCCTGAAGAACAAAACACATAAAGAGGACTGAATGAATCTGAAGGTTACTCAAAGGTTTTAATCTTGTTTCTTAAGGACTGACCCCATCAGATCTGGTTTGAATGACAAGCGTGGCTGCATTATGCCTTCTAAAACCTCTTTGGTGATGAGAAGATTTCAATTGCCAGATGGTGCAAAAGCAGCAAACTGCACAAAATGTGCTATCGTTTCAAAAGGCTTTAAAACATCAGTGTGCTTTCAACTGAAGCTACATCCCAAAGTGTTTCAGGAAAGTAAAAAGCTTCAGTGCAAACATTTCTTTCTGACCAAGGTGGCCTGAAGTTCCTATGAATTCACAGAGAAAGTGATCCAAAGAGGCAGCAGACTTACACAAGGGTGGAAAGCTCTTCTCAAAGCAGTATTAGAAACAGCCACTGGTTCACTCTTTTGTAACTGCTTCCCCTTGAAAAAAGCTTTGAAGATCTTGCAGAGCTCTTACATGTATCTTTAAGGGAAAGGTGGTTTGCTGCAATTCACAGAGGTAGCAGGATTTGAACACTGATCTCTTCTCATTTTTCTTTTGTTGGTGGTTAAAAGGCAACTGTTCCTTTGTGGTTTCAAGTTTGTTACCTTATATTTTGTTTGTGATCTTATATTTAGTTTGTTGCCATGTATTTTTTTGTGTAGGCCAACAGAAAGGGACAAGTTATAAAATTAATTCAACCTCCATTTTCAATCTTAACTGCCTCAATTTGAACTGTCATAAATTTTCTGATCTGCAGCTTCTCTGTAATTAAATACAGCGAAAATATTTGGGTTTTATGCACCCAGTCTCCACATGGCTTACATGATATCATGCACTCATTTCTTCCTCTCCTCTTTACCCCTCCCACATCAGTAAAAAGACACAGCTTCTGTGAAACCCTTAAGTGCTGATGATGAGCTACTTACTGCAAATAAACTGTCACAAAACAATGCAAAATAAGAGCATAACTGACAAAAAGACAAGATGTCACAGCATTTCATTTGGAAAGAAGTCAAAAAGAGTTAGACTTAGTTTTATTTGTATTCCTCTATGAAAATAACACTCTAATCTGTCAGCTGGATGCCAAGAACACAGAGCATGGAATTTTTGACAAGAAGGATGGTGAGGAGCATGGTGGGAAGAGAAGGATGTTATAAGCTGCAGAACTTCTCCCTGGCCAGGAAGGTTATGAAAGAGATGTTTATCTCATATGCAACATGTGTTGTTTTGTTACTTGATATATTCTGGGAATAAATCAACACACCCCTCATGCCTGGAAGGGCCTGAGATCTCTCTTACTACTGCCTGTCACCTGCAATTTTTGCTGCAGTGCTTCTCTTGCCAAAACCCAGTCCTGCACGGTACCAAAGACCTCCACAGAAGCATTGAAAGTGCATCAGCCCAGAGTGGGTAGTGACTTCAGCTCAGATTGTCAAGGACCTTTTTGGCTTTAAAATATTTTCCTAGTCGACAGGATCACATGTTGTTTCCTCCCCCCATCTCCTTTTTTTTTTTTTTTTATGACATTTAAAGTATTGCACCCCAGACTCAAATTTCCCAATTTTTTTTTTTTTTCTCTTTGAGAGAGACAAGAAAAAACTGAGAGAGATTCAGGACAATGCATTACATGGTTCTGACAACCAATTCATGTTTTTCAGGCCACACTCATGCACCCACATAAAGAGCCAATGTGACCTACTAAATGAGGATAAGCTATTTTTGTTATTAATATGAGATTATAATTATGAGATCAACTTTTAAAACCAGTGGGTGGACTGCAGAAAAACTCTTGCAACTGCAGTAACACAGGGAAGAATGCAGAAAGGATGATGCTGCTTTCTTCTTCCCATAATGTTATCTCTGCTTATCAGCCTAGAAGCAGCAGAAGGAAATGGAGCAGAGCAACAGAGCTGTCAGCCAGACACCCCTCTCCCATCACGAGTCAGGTGTTTCCATGCATGGCTGTGGTAACCCCTGTGCATGGTGTCAGCAGGATCCTCTCCAACTCCCTTCTGGCCTCTGAAACAAAAGCTTTCAAAATACCAAACAACAGGTATAGATGACACTAATGACAAGCCACTAATTGACTGGAAAAGAATCCTCCTCTTTGTGGCCATGGAGAAAAAAAAAAAATCCCTTGGAGCAGGCCACTGTCCCCATGAGCACCTGCAGCAGAAGTCTCATTACAAAACTGACTCTGAATTCCCTGGCAAACCAAATGCCTTGGGACGTGACCCACTCCTGAAGCCCTTAGGCATTGCTTCAACAGATCTGATGCAGTGAAGAAGTCACAGAGCAGAGGGATTACACCCTCCAGTGAGATCTGGGGCACAGCACAGGGCACAGTCAGACCCAGTGACCCCCACAGAATGTACAGATTTCGTCTGTTTGGGTCTGATGTCCAGACCTGCCCTGCAAAGCAGGAAAGCTGACTGCATGCCTTCTGAAGGCATCTGTAAGTGGGTTTCCTTTGTAAGAATCAAATTCTGGTGTTTCTATTCACTACCACCTGATTCTGAAAGGAGGTCTTTGACAAGCAAGGCAAGACTGGGAGCTTTTAAACCTATTTTTATCTTTCTTGGTTAGAGTTCTTTGGTCACCAAATCCTCAAGCTCTCAATTATTGGGATATTTATGTTGATAAAAGCAACACGGTTTAAACATCATACTTAAAACTATCCTGAAGTTTCCATGTTCCTTCTACAGCTCCTCCTTGTGTGCTCATTCTGCAAGTGTTTTACTTTGAAGGGTATATTGAGATCATGCAATGAAAGAGCTAAAAGAGATAAGGAATCATCATCCTCCCTTTAATGTAAGACATCTGCAATAGACCCCCAACATCCAGGGTAATTGCCTCAAACTTTCATTCTCAGCAGAGAGGCAGAGGCTGGGAATTTTATAGTAAGCTGCTTCTCATAATAACGTAGACACTGAATATAGGTGAGGTTAATAACATTCCAGAGGAGCCTATTTTAAATATAAAGGGAATTTAGACTGCTGCTTTGCAAGACAGCTTAAAATTGGACTGTTACAGTGTATCCCAAATAATGGTTAGAGAAAGAATGTGAAGAAAATATTTAACAGTCACTCTGATTCTCAGCTCTTAATCATATTTGTGATTGTGTTCATCTGATACTTGTGTCTTGGAAATGCTAATCTGGGTCCTCATTTTCTTCATAACAAGAAGAACAATCCATTCCCAGTTCTGGTGTTGCTGTCATACCAGCCAGCACCAAACTACTCCTGTCACTCTACACTTGACAGAAACCCCATTTTCTTCCAGTTTTATGGCTTACATTTATTACCACCTCTCCTGGTGCTTTGCATCTGAATGGCACCAAAAGGGATCTCCGCAGTGCAATACAGCAGTCAGATCAAAACAGATGATGAAATGTCATTAATCTCTATCAAGCTATTAATCTGAAATCTCAGTTTTCAAGCTTTCACAAGTATCTGAAAGCTGTCCATGTGATGAAAGTTCTGTTCCAGTCCCCTGCACTCAAGAAATGGTAAATTTTTGAGATACTGCTACTTCTGCAAGTGTTGATATCTCTGTCCTCAGGTTACAGTTGAAATAAAATGCCATGCCAAGGTTCTGGAGTGAATTGGTATAAAAGCAACTGCTAGAACTTCATTTTCTCAAACTCCCAACCCAGCCCATCTCCCCAGTGGAGTTCATTTTCTTCCTCTGTCTGTATCCACACGTGTGGAAATCACATCCCTGCAGGCATTAGGAGCAGGAAAGGTTCAGTGTCTGAACAGGATCATCAGTGAGATGTACAGGAAAATTCAAATCCCAGATTCTGCCAGTGTCCTCTGCACCACTGACACTGCTTGTGCTCTATTTTCTGCCTGCTGAGTTTCCTAGGTAATGGCCAATGAAGGACCATAAACTTGAAGAGGACTGGGTAATGGACTATGTTTACATTCTTTATCTTCATCAATACATGAAATATGAAGGTTTATTCATTGCTATCAAAGTCCAGCCTTGGAGTATCTCTATTAGGCTCAATGAAGTGAGAGTGTCTTTGTCTCTGTAAGCTGAGCTGCACATTCATCAAATCCTGTGTTAATTTTGCCGGTAATTCCGGCTTTGCCTAATTGCTTCAGGTATTTGAAAGGGTTATGATTAAATCTTTCCTAGTAATTTCTAAGTTTCCCCTTAACCTTAGGCTGGTACATTATTAGGTAAATTTACACATTCTGTTTATAGACATCAGTGTTCTTTCCCATTGGTTTTTTCCCCCCCTTGCCCAGTTTTTTTCCACTGTGCATCTGCAGCAGTCAGGTGCTTCTCTCAGCTCCCAGGAATAAAAGGACAGAGTGGAAGAGGTTGCTGAAGTCCAAGTATGTTCAACGTGCTATGCTCATCAGCTACCCTATGCTGTCTGAATATTTCCTTTCCTTGTCCACTGCTGGCAGTGAGGCAGGAATCATGCCCTACCTGATTAGGTACATAAGCCAGATGTGAATTTTGAGATTCATCTCTATTTTTCACAAAGGCAAAACTATCAGAGTCCTAGCCTGTATCCAAATCAACATACTTTATGGGCACACAGCAGCATATATTGTTAACAAGTTATTTAC